CCAGATAGTCTTCCTGCAGCATCAGAGGGGAAATGATTTGCAAAGTATGTATTTCTCTCCACCAAAAAACTTGAGGGAATAAAATTGGACATGAAGTAGAGGTCCTGGTAAGGATAAGATGGCTGTCAACACTGAAAATAAGCTAGTGGTTAGAAATAGCAGTTTGTAATCCCTAGAGCTTAGAAGGTGCTAGAAAAAAATAGGGAGGAAATGAATATTACTATGGGGGAAGGAGAAATGATTCTATCAGGAGTAAAAGGAATGATAACAAATCTCTTAGTCCAAGAAACATTTCCTCTTGGTGAGCAAGAGTGGGGGGCTGGAGGCATGGCTCAGCAGTAGAGCACCAGCCTTCCAAGGGCAAGACTGAGTTCAAAACCCAGGACCACCAATAAAGGAGTAAAAAGGGAGCAGAGCAAATACAACTCTGTAGAAAGGGAGTGAATTGCGCATATGGTAGATGTCAGACACAGAGCCAAAGTACAACATGAGCCTAGAGACCGCACCCCAAAGTTCCCCAGTATTACTTCCCCACCTCCCTTGAACTTGTTCTCTTAGACACACCTGTTCTGCAGTTGTCTAGTTATTGGAACACAATGCCCAGTCCCCTAACAAACTGGATCATGGGTCATACCATAGTGCTCCATACCCTGGCCCCAATCAGCCTCTCCCAGCCTTCTATCCCATTGCTCCCTGCCTTTAGTCTTGAGTGTTGCTAAGCTATTTTGGGCTTGTACACATACTACCTGAGTCACACATTCTGACAGGCTTTACTCTGGTTTCTGGCTGCTAGAGAACCCTGTGATCCTGAACCTTTCTCCCCAGCTCCAAGTCCTTGTGCATCTCACCTGTCTGACTCCTCAGACTTCTCTCAAGTGTCATCTTCTCCAGGGAGCCTTCTTGTGCTTCAAAACCTTCTTGCTATACCAGGTGCCAGTGGTTTACGCCTGTAATCTTAGCTACTCAGGAGGCTGAGATCTGAGGATCGTGGTTCAAAGCCAATCAGGGCAGGAAAGTCCATGAGACTCTTGTCTGCAATAAACCACTCAAAAAACTGGAAGTGGCACTGTGGCTCAAGTGGTAGAGTGCTCACTTTGAGCTGAAGAGCTGAGGGACAGTACCCAGGCCCAGAGTTCAAGCCCCACAACCAACAAAAAAAAAATTCCTTGCTGGTATATAATATTATTCTCAACACTATCCAGAAAGCACAGAGCATCTGTACATAAAATGTCTGTTCAGTATTCACGTGACCACCATATTTATGATAAACCATGTCTTCTTCAAGGGAAGAACAGGCTACAATGGGCTCTATATCTCTGCAGCCTCACACAGAACCCAACACAGACTAGATGCTCACGAAGTGTGTCAAGCTGAATCCACTGCCCTCTGGGGCTTTTAAATGGACATGATATCTTAACAGGAAAAAGAGCTCTCAGTCTGTGTGGAAAGTGCAGTGAGAAAGGAATATGATCAGAATCTTCCCAAGAAAGACAGAGCATCAGTGCTCCAACAGGGCAAAGCCAATCCCAGACTTCCAGGAAGAAAGGATTTCTTCTTAAAGGAGATGCGTCTCCCTCCAGCATCCAGGCCCTCAAGAGTCCACTTGAACACCACCCTTTTCATGAAACATCCTGTGATTGCCAAGCCTTCACCCAAATAATTTCCCCCTCCCTAGAGCATTTCATCTCTCTGTCTAATCACTAAGTTATTTGCATCTAGACATGACCATCTATCATGTCTCCTTAAAAGTACATCTAATCCTTGCTTCTATTTGGGTTCCCATCACCTGATATAGAGTAGGCAGTGAACATCTGACCATTCATTTCATCAACCTTTGTTAAACAGTGGCTGTAAGATGAGTACAGAGGCTCCTGAATATCAAGATAAATAGAGCCATGGTCCTTGTGTTTGAAGAATTCATAGGCTAGTGGTGTGCTGGGTAAAAGAATGAATAGGAAGGAGTGGAAAGATGCATGCATGCATGCATGAGTAAGTGGATAAGTAGGTAAGTGGATAAGTGGATGGATGGATGGATGAATGGATACATGGCTAGATGGATAGATGGGTGAGATGGATGGATGGATTAATAGAAGAATGAATGAACCAACTATCAAAAGGTACTCAAAAATCCTTTCTCCAGTAAGTCCCCTCCTAGCTTATCTAGATTCTCATCTACCTTCTCCAAAGTTTTGAGGATCAAATCTACAACAGATGTGTTTTTTTTTAATTATAGGTGATCCAGACACCAATGGTTCATGCTTGTAATTTTAAACGCTCAGGAGGCTGAGATCTGAGAATTGTGATTTGAACCCAGCCTGGGCAGGAAAGTCTGTAAGACTCTTATCTACAATTAAGCATCAAAAACCCAGAAGTAGAGCTGTGTCTCAAGTGGTAAAGTGATAGCCTTGAGCAAAAAAAAAAAAGCTCAGGGGCACCTCGCCCCTGAATTGAAGCCCTAAGATTGGCATGTGCGTACTTGAGGGCGCGCGCACGCACACACACACACACACACACACACACACAGAAGGAGCACCATCTTGCCTTGGCACAAAGTCAGCCAGGAGCAGAGCCTGGGTTCTGGGCTCCCAGCACCACCCAGACTCTTTGTGGCAACACTCTACACGCTCAGCCTTCTCTCCACGAATAAAGAGATAGATGGTCAGTCTCCACCTTCAACATGGCAAAAACTTGGAAGAGTACTCAAATGGCTTCTTCCCCTCAGCCTGCTACTTCTGTATCCAAAATCACCTCCCTAGACAACTCTGGAAATAGGGGCCAACATGAGTGGTTTTCTCTTTACTGCAAAAGAGGAGTCTTCTTGTATAAACAAAAAACAAATACACCCACATGGCCCCTTGCCTGCAAGTACAATTATGTTGGCTCTGATGCACACTTACACACATCTCATCTGCAGCAAGCTTGGCCAGGTAAATCATTAAGAGCAACTACAGAGGCCTTAGACCCCACACACAGCCCCTGGACTGGCCACTCCTACACCCTCACACCCAGGGGTGTGAGCAATGGGGTCTATCATCACCTGCAGCTTTCTGAGAATCCCCACTCCTCTTTCAACCCTTAATTCCTCCTCCTCACCACAGAAACCCAACAGAGAGCCAACTGGGCATTTTCCCAGGGGAGAGGTACACGGAGGAAGAAGTCAAAGCTGTCTGACTGGCTGCAAAGGCTGCAAACTTCCTGTTCTCACATGCGTGTGCATGCACACAAGAGGCAGAGAGCCCAGCATAGACAATGGAGGCATCAGGGCCCTCTGGCCTAGTCTCTGTTCCTCCTGCCAGAAAGCAGGATCAAGAGATTAACCCTTGCTGCTCTGTCTCTGCTTTCCCAAAGAGAAGACAGCTCCAAGCCTGCCTAGGGTCTGCTTGAAGCCTGCCGATCAGCGGCAAACCTTGTTCCCCTCCTGTCTGTACAGTCAGACACACAGACAATGCACTGAGGACTGGAGATGAGTGGACTTCCTGCAGGCAAGAGGCTTTGCCCTGCACCTGTAGAAGAGGACTAAGTTCAGTCTGCTTCTAAAACAGGGAAGATTGCTCTGAAAATTTTAGGATTGCTGCATCATAAAAACAACATATTCTCAAAAGTTAGTCCCAACCTTACCCCCCATCTAAATGTCCTCTCCTCATTTTGGCAATGCTCCACCTGGAGCACAACCTCCAGGACTGCCCAATCATGAAGCTTCCCCTCTCCACTTCCACCAATCTCCCTGCCCAATCAGGAAGCTTCCCCTCTCCACTTCCACCATTCTCTCTGACCAATCAGGAAGCTTCCCCTCCCCATATCCACCATTCCCCCTGCCCAATCAGGAAGCTTCCACTCTCCATTTCCACCATCCTCTCTGACCAATCAAGAGGCTTTCCCTCTCCACCTCCATCATTCTCCTCACCCAGTCAGGAAGCTTCCCATCTCTGGCTCCACCATCCTTCCTACCTCCACTCAGGGACTGAGCAATGCCCAAACATCACCACCCCACTCACCCCACATGCCAAAAAGTGGGAAGCAAGCAACACCTCTCAGACAGGGAACAGGCTGATGTTCCTCCATCTACCACCTGTGGCCTTGCTGGTTCTTAGATCTGGTTTCTAAAAGCCTTCTGAGCATGTAGTCCCATGTGTGCAATTCCATAAAAATAGGGAGGCCTTGCAAAATCCCAGACATGAGCTTTCTCCCCTGAGTCCATAACCTCTTCTTCTATATCCAGCTGAGACCTCTGACTGCCTTCCTTGCACCTGGCAGACATCCCATACCTTTACATATTGGCCATCCCCTCCAGGTACCCTCCAGACTCAGCATTGAGATGCTCTGGTAGCCCTGTAATAAACATTCTTTGATAAATTGTTGATTGTCTCTTGAATCTAAATACCTTACCCTAAGAGTAGTCTCCATGTTCCCTCCACTAATCTTCTGTGTTCAATGATCTGTGTAATTTGAAGTTAGTAGATGACTTGACCAGTATAGAAAGATCCTTTAGATAAACTGCCCCCCTCGACCAGTGTCCATCTGCACCTAAATTATTTGGATGTATCACAAGAAAGTCTTCCTCCCCCAGTGAACAAAGACAGTTGCTGAGACTGAATGATAAAAGCATTTTATTGGAGGACAGCGGGAACAAGCGGAGCTGAGCAGAACACTAAGACATTCTCATCCTAACCTTTCAGAACCAGTTGCTGCCAGGTGATAGGGACTGAGTTTGGTTAATATCGATGCATAGCTATGGTTTGATGGAGCTATGAGAGGACATACATGATCTTGACAGGTCTGTTCATTTCTCCTCTGTGCATGGGAGGTCAAAGCTGACAGCCCTCCTCTCACTCCAGGGGAAATCACCAGTCCTAAATGGAGAAAAAACTACCAAACTCCAAGAGGGCAGAGTCCACATTCCGGCCAAGAGGATTGTCCTGGAGCAGAGCAAGCCCAAGGCAGAGTGGCCCATCTCTGGCAGGATGAACAGCAGGAAGGGTGCGAGTGAAATGAAGGAAGCACAACGACATCAGGGCTGGGCTGGACACAGGGGCCTACAGCGCCTCATCTTCTCTATCGCTGGGACCTCTTGGTCAGGGTTGAAGAAGAGATGATCTTACTGCTGGAATGGCTACCAAACCCATAACCACTTCCAGAGCCAGAACCAAAGCCGCTACCCAGGCCAAATCCAGAGTAGCTTCCTAATCCTCCACCAATGCTTCCAGCGCTGACACTACCACCGACTACCGCTGCAAGAAAGGCAAAGGACAATTACTCACACTGTGCCAGAGGCCCTTGGCCCAGACCAGGGTGAGCAGATGACCATGGTAGGGGCAGAGGTACTTACAGATGCTCACAGCACTCTGGCATTCCCCAGACATCCTGTAAGGAGAAGAGAACCATGAGCCATAACAAGTCCAGAGCTACGCTTTGGTCATTACACAAGTCTGATGCACCTTTCCCAGACTTGAGTGGCCAGATCCTAAGGTCTGAGCATGAACCATTTGCTACCCCATCCTAGTTCTTGATACACCAGCACAGCACTAGAGCAAACATCCCAGCAGAGGCCCAAACTCTGCACCCCATGTTCCCCTCCCTGCCTCCCCCTTACCTGCACTCCTCGCCCTCCAGCAGCTTCCTATAAGTAGCTATCTCCACATCCAGAGCCAGCTTGACACTCATAAGTGCCTGGTACTCCCGCAGCATCCGGGCCATCTCCTCCTTGGCCTTCTGCAAGGCAGCCTCCAGCTCTGTGCGCTTGCTATAGGCATCTTTGAGAGCCAGCTCCCCGCGCTGCTCTGCATCAGCCACGGATGCCTGGATAGTCTGGCACTGTGGACAAAGGCATCAACAGGCCTCATCAGTGTCCTCCTGCCAAGATCTCTATGCCTGTCCCCTGTGCTGGGGTTGATATGTCAAGATTCTGCCTGCTCTTCTCCCTACCTTCCCCAACTCCAGGCAGAACCTACCAATGTCTCCACTACAGTGATGAAAAAGAGAAGCAGGCTGGATGCAGGTGGCTGACCACTGTAATCCTAGCTACTTGAGAGGCTGAGATCTGAGGATCCTGGAGCAGACAATCTCCAATTAACCAGAAAAAAGTTGGAAGTGGAGATGTGACTCCAGTAGTAGAGTACTAGCTTTGAGGGGGAAAAAATGCTCAGCAGGAGTGTGAGGCCCTAGTCCAAGCCCCAGTACTGGCAATAAATAAATAGGCCAAACCCAGTGAAGGTCCAGGAAACTGCTATCCAGGATGTCATGTGACATTAATGAGGATGCTGTTGAGAATATCCAAATGTTATCTGCATAATGAGTTATGAAGGCCCTGCTCATGGGCTCAAGGGGCTTGCAATACAGGGTTTATCTGCTTGTCCACTGCAGCAGCCATCTGCCACGGGCCCCTTACCCTGAACCTAAGCTTGGAGGAGGTAACACCCACCTGCTTCTTGACATTCTCAATCTCAGTCCTCAGCCTCTGGATCATCCGGTTGAGCTCTGAGATCTCATTCTTAGTGCTCTTCAAGTTGTCACCATGTAGGTCAACTGATGTCTGGAGCTGCTGGACCTAAGATAGAAGGAAAACAGGAAGTCAGGAGTCAAGACCTTTAGGGTAAGACCATCCACTCATCTCTGATGGCTCCTGGGCTGGAGCTGATGATTGCATTCACAGACATTAAAGGCAAAATCTAGAGCCATCCTCATCTCCTGAGTCACCCCATCACCCACCTTGGTCTGATACAGGGCCTCAGCTTCAGCCTTGCTTCTCTTGGCAATCTCCTCGTACTGGGCCTGGACCTCAGCAATGATGCTTTCCAGGTCTAGGTTGCGATTGTTGTCCATGGAGAGGACCACAGAGGTGTCAGAGACATGTGTCTGCATCTGGGACAGCTCCTACAAGGAAAATGTCTCACATCAGCCCCCCAGGAGACTCTCCCTGATCTCTGACAAAAGACTCCTATCATCATGATATGGCTATGACACCAGTCAGAGAGAACAGAGATGGCATTCCCAATTTAAAAGGAAAGGAAAAAAAGGAAAACTCTAAGTAGAAATGAGGGAAGGGACATCTCCAAACAGAAAGCAAGGTTTTTCACCTTTTCCAACTCCCACGCAAGAGCCACCACAAGTGCTATGTGTCTAGTGTGGAGGGTGCTGGGAATACCGTATACAAGGAAATGGAATGAGCCCATTCCTCCAGAAAAAATGGTAGGCAGCAATGGATTCTATCCCTTGACATATCTGGCTCTAATCACTTCTTTAAATCAATACCTGGTTGCCAGGTACTGGTGGTGCACTCAGAAGGATCATGGTTTAAATCCAGCCTGGATAGGAAAGTCCTTGAGACTCTTTTTTTTTTTTTTT